CGTGTCTTTGATCCAAAGCTTGAGAACATCTTTCAGCTAAATGTTCCTCCTCCATTGGTGTTTTAAAGCAAAAATCAACACTTGCATGTTTTAAAAGCCTTTTGGTTGCTCTTGATGGTCATTAGGTCGACCATATTTTGGTTACCAAAAACCAGGACACCCAACCCCGGCAATAATAAGTTTACTCTAAGATGCCGCCTCTGTATGGATAGAAAATTGTTATAGCCACTTTATAAAAAAACAACCAGGACAGGACGTGAAACCACGACGTTTGGTCACCCTAATGGTCATTGTGCTTTATTGTTGTATTTTTAGAAATTTATCTTGCAAGTTCCTGTCCTGCTTTGCTTTGTTCCTGTTTTATTTTTTAGCAACAGATTCTGTGTCCTGTCCTGCTTTTGTTGCTGCATGACCGATAACGTGCAGCACTTTGGTCGGCTCAGGTTGTTTTAAACGTGCTGTATTAATAGAGTTCATCTGATTTGATCTCAGGTTTTAAAGAAAATTCAGCTGCAATTCCATAAAAAAAAAGTCTCAATGCCTTCGACCATGTTCAAGAGTATTCAAACACAGATGATGCAAGCTCTGAGCATCACTAGCAGGCAGCGTTCTGGTTCTTGGAGATGTTTTAGCTCAAATCCAAATTTTCTCAGTTGTCAGAACTGAAGAAGCAAAGAAGTGAAACATCTTCATTAATCAAACAGAAAAGTCTAGTTGCTCTCTATGAGCTGGATGTATGTGGGTCAACACAGGCAGCAGAACCAAAACCAGAACCCGCTGAGGTTTTGGTTTTGAGCTTGTTTTTTTGGTACATTCCTGGGAGAGAGTTGGTCATTGCGGGTTCACACAAGACAGGAAAAGGCTGTAATCCCACATCCAGATGTTTACCAGTGGCCACAGTGTCGAGCACACTGGATAAGAGTTTAACACTGCAAAAGATTTCAAAGGGCGTGGTCAGTAGCCCTGCAAGAATGGTGGTGCAAGAGACCAAGAAGATTCCAAGGATCACCACCGAGGCCATCCTGGTGAATCTGAGCAGTTCTGGTACCAACACTCCAGCAGACGGTGCACAAAGCCATTCTGACCAAGGAGGACTTCTCCAAGACCAGGCCCACAAAGGTTGGTTTGCTTTTGCAAAAGCTCAAACAGATAAAGACGAAAGCTTTTGATCATCAACTGACTGGCAGGATGAGATGGAAATGGAGCTGTTTGGACACATGAATGAATGGAGACGCATTCAGGAACACCATCCCAACAGTCAAACATGGGATTTAATGCTTTGGGGGTATTTAACAGCCACTGGTCCAGGCAACCTTGTTAAAGGAAACAGTATCATCAGATTGCATTCAGAGTCTTCAGGAAAACATCAGCTAGTCTGCAGACACACTTGCCCTTGGGCAGCATCAGACCTTCCAGCAAGACAATGGTTCAAAACATGCAGCCAGAGGCGATCAAAAACGGTTAACGGGAAACAGTCTGAATGTGTCCAGACCTGAATCCTGTCAAGAATCTGTGGAGGGAACTAAAGACCATCACTAAAGAGTCATGGTCCAAAATGCCAATGGACACATATGAAAAGTTGGTTAACAACTATAAGAACTGTTTCACTGCTGTGTTGGCAAATAAAGACGTCGCCACTGATGACTGAGAAATGGTACGAACAGTGTTGGACATAAAACAAACAAAAAACACTGAAAAAGTTAAAATCATTAACATTGACGTTTGCAGCTTCGTGTCTCACCACCTTCTGTCACTTGTTTGTGTCATTTCCAACCAGAAGAAATCTAGTTATCGGATAAAAATCTCCTTAAAATGTAGATTTGGCCGGGTATGAATCATTTCTAGCTCAGCTGTACACGCTGTGCACAGAGAAGGTCAGACATCTGAGTGAGGTCACCAAAACCCAATCTCTGACTATAAACCATTTGTTTGGAACACCTTGAAAACCTCAGCGGCCCCCGAGCTGATTTGAAAAACTTTTTTTTTCTTTGCAGTCCAACCAGATGGCTACCCAGTTTTTTTCCCACCATGCTATCGTAGGCAGTAATCAGTCTTCTTAATATAAATAGTTTTTATTTTACAGCATTGTTCATGTTCAGCTCACCCAAAACAGAGAGGCCTATTTCGTTCTAGATTCGACAGTGTTGAACAGGTGGTACCTCGTATGTTTCACATCGGTTAAAATCATTTAACAACTTACACTATAATCGACTAAAAACATTTGGAAATACAATACGATTGCACTATGTACCGTGTAGTCTTGTACTTTGCAATGACTTGCATTCTTATAGATAAAGAACTAAGAAACTTAACCTCAAGTAAACTACTTAAGTTTATAATGCAAGATTTAAGCAAAAAATTCCAAACATGTATAATCTCATTACAAGAAGCAACTAATCATCGGTTACCTTTTACAACCAAATGTATTCAATAGGATACAGTTGACTCAAGTTAGCTTAATAAAAGTTACCCCAAAAAAACCAAACACACTGCTCCTTGACAAGTATCTGAGGACGGTTTCAAAATGTATAAACTCTTTTTTTTTTCTTCTTTTTGTCTTTTTTTTTCTGTTGACATTCTAAATATAGAAACATTTATCAGTATTACAAACATACCACCTGTGTGAAAAAACAAGAGATGGCTTAACAGTATTACAAACTTTTGAGAATTTGTACACCTTGTAATGTGTTTTCCATTACACCGACACAGCAAAATCGGAAAATGTGAGAAACACCCAACAGCGCATGGAGGAAAGCAACAGCATTTTTCTTTGATCACGTCCCATGCGCAGAAAAAAAAACAAACTTGTTCTCGGGGTTATGATGGAGTGTGAACCGAATAAACAACATCGCCATCATCTACAATCACGCTATTACCTGTATCAGCTACATCATAGAAAAACAAAAAAATCAGAAATCAAAAGCAGGGATGTAGGTTGGTAACGACTTCGATTGGCACATTACATCCATATCATACAGCGCAAGTCTTCAGCAGAAATCTCAGTTCATTAAATAATATTTTCGCGGGGAGCACACCTCGCGACACGATATTCAAACCGACACTTTTTCTCGTTAATTTGTAATATTTAAAATTGCAAATGAGGTCTGATGAGAGGAGGTGGAGTTAATCGACTAATGAGGGGGGAAACAAAGCAGGTACTGTGACTGCTGCACCATTGAAAAGACCTATAAGTGTGCAGCGAAGAGCAGAGCAGATCAAAACTCGAACGCACTCGAGCTGTTGCAGTCTTTAGCCGACGTCTGGCCTGCGGATGCGCCAAAGTGCGCTCTGCACATACAGCATATTCACATAGAATTGTGTTTCCACTTCTTTTTGCACTGCCTCTATGAAAGCCACAGCTACATGTTGTTTTTTTTTTGATTTGCAGTGTTGCTTCATTCATCAGAATTTGGCATGAGAGCTGACTAGTTTTGGCACTGTTCCCAGTTTTACATTTTACAGAAAAGGCTTTGTGCACTGACGGACCGCAGCACTCGGAGATAATTCCTGATGCATCTTTACTTAGTTTTTATTAACCACTTACTGATAAAAGCAGAGTAATAAATACAAGCAAGCAAATGGCAAAACAACCAAAACATAAATAAATGTGAAAAACCTTCAGATGTTAAATAATATAACTGTTTGTGTGTGTGTGTACCTGTATGTGGAAAAATGCCTGCCTGTGTGATGCACAAGTCTGCCGACAGCCACCGCGTCAGTGCCATTTTTATTTTTTTTCGCTCTCACAGTGTTGAGGAGCTGTGTGCAAAGTCACGGAGGATGTTTGAGGTGTAGACTGAGCTTGGAGGGCTACCGAGCAGCGACTCGATGATGGGGGAGCCGTCGACGGACTCCCCCGAACACACAGAGTCTCTGAAGGGGGAAGGGGGAGACAGAGCGAGGGAATCCTCCAGAGTTGTCTTGTTGTGCCGAGTTAAATCCTCGCCTTCCCCGTCCTCCCCCTCCCCCTCGTCCTTGGCGTCGTAAATGTAGCTGTGCAAGAGGTCCAGGTCCTCGTCCTCGGGCCCCTCGTCTTCGAACGCTCCGACTGGCGGGGCTGAGGGAAGCTGAGAGGGCGTCAAGCTCAGAGGCTGGTTGGCAGGGATGGCCTCCCTGGCAGCGTGGTCGTTCAGTGCGGGGACGTGGGAGCTGTGTGTGTCCACCACAGCCCCCTGCGAGCGCTCCGTGGCGGGTTGGCGAGAGGGCAAACAAGGAGCCGCCTCGTCTAAATCAGACTCCGGCCCTTGCATCTGTTCAGAGCAAGTCGAGGTCCAGAGGGGGCGCTGAGCGTCGCTCTCGTCGTCTTCCTCCATCAGGTTGTACAGAGGCTTAGTTCCAGGCGGTTCTTGGGGGAGATGTGGGTCTGTGCCAAGGTTGCAGGTGGAGGGCTCGCAACTGTGGGGGTCGGGGGTGTTAGTTAGGGGCCTGATGACCGCCGTCTGATTCAAGCTGGCTTCTTGTTTCCTCACATGCACAGACAGTCTGTGCCACACATTCCCCCCCCTCGGAGGGTGTCTTGCACCTGATTCAGACCATGACACAGACTTGCCATTAGAACTATGAACGAGATAAAGACCCAAGTTACTTTCACAGGAAACCAGGAGGTGGAGACAGAAATAAAACAACACCAACATAGCAGCAACATACGGTAACACAAACAGAGCGGCAGCATTTCAACATTCCTGACGTATGTTAAAATACTCGACTGGACATCAACAGCTTTGGCTCAGGGGTCCATTCATGAGCTCTAAAGAGCGTTACACTTATCGACTTCACAAATACTGATCCATAATGTGCTGCAGACAGCATTATGATCTCCAAACTGCTTTAGACATTGAGTTCACAGAATAAAGAGCCGTCCAGCTCGTTTCTATTCCTACTTGCTTACGTAGATATAAATGGGACGCATGCATCTGCAAAGTATTTCTGTTGGTGCCTGAACTGGTCTGAAGACGACACTTAAGTTTGGTGCACAGTGAGCTAGGACTGGCTCCAATGTGATTAGTTAGGGAGGTGGTTAGGGAGGGTGTTCATGCTGAGAAAAGTTAAATGTGAGGTTAATTCAGGATAAACCAAAAGCAGCAGGGTGGCAGATCTCCTTCTTGGAGGGCTGCAGCGTCAAAAGTATGTTTGTCATTGCCAGCTCAGGAGTGACGGCGTCACAGAGGACCACATCGGAGAACGTTAACCAGTCAGCTTGTCTTTTTGGTTGAATACAGAAAAAAAACTACTCTTTTTAGTATTCAATTTCCTTCTCAATTAGGCATCGTTTTGGCAGAAGTGTGAGGAAAAATATGGATTTCAGCTTTAAGACTTTTTCTGCAATCTCACTGATTTCAGAGATCATCCGTCTGGTGTGTTTCTGAGTCCCTCCCCTGGTGGTATATGACAAAACAAACAAAAAAAAAAAGTCAACAGCTCGGTTGAGAGTGCAGCCCTGCAGGAAAGGAGTTGAATTACCGCCCCCAAACCAAAAACATTCGCCAGCCTTGACACTTTACAGTACGCTCCTCAGTATAGACGGTTGAAGGGTTAGAAGATTAGATAGGCTGCATAGCACAGGGTAAGAGACAACACTTAAACATATTGGGATCACTCTCATTCTCTGCCCCGCTCCTTACTTTAGTCACCTGTCCATGTGCCACTGCTGTGGATCTCAAAAAAGTTATATGCAAGTCTTACATCTAGTTTAGATGCGTGAAATCTATACTTTAATAATCACTGACATATCTTAGCTTTCAATGACAGCAAACGTCCCGCCTTGAGCTTTTCTAGTAAACTCAGCTACAGTATTTCCTTCTCAGAGGGAGGGGGATGTGCCATATAAATCAGTGTATCTGTTTACTTTTCCATAGACTGGGGTTACTGGGAAGTTAAAAATGGACCACTGACATCATGCATAAACACTCAAATGTTTGTACAGCTAAAGAAAATAAGCACCCGATTATGATTTTCAAACAACTGACAGTTTAACATGTTTTATTATTTTTATTTTTTTTAATAATTGGAGTGCTTAGGCATCTTATCACTTGGTCTTCACCCAGTCATCCCAGGAAACAGAACATAAGCAAAATGAACACCATGAAAGGTTACTCACTTGGAATTGCCAGATACAGCCTTCTTGCGGCGGAACATATTGAGGAAGCTGTTGCTCCCGCATGGAGCCGCAGACTTTCCGTCTCCAACGTGCATTCGCACCACGTCAGACGTGGTGAAGGCGCTTCGGACATTCCTCTCCGGCTTGGCAATGATAATGTACATCTTGGGTGTGAACATGCACCCCAGTGCCACCGTTACACTCAGGCTGACGGAGAACGATGTGGTTATGATCTTGTAGTTGGAACCGAAATAGATCGGCACGAAGGCCAACCAGATGATGCAGGTAGTGTACATTGTAAAGGCAATGTATTTAGCCTCGTTGAAATTGGCAGGGACGTTCCGTGTCTTGAAGGCATAGTACGTGCAGCTCATGATTAGCAGTCCGTTGTAGCCCAGCGGCGCCACCATGCCTACGTTGCTAGTGTTGCAGATGAGGTAGACCTCACGTATGCTCGGGTACGACTTGATCGGCTCGGGAGGTTCCAGAATGATGAGCGTGATCTCCAGAGTTAGCTGCACGCTGATGAGCATGAAGGCGATGATCACCTGCGCCCAGGCGCTCATGAAGCGAGGTTTCCTGGTGCAGATCTTCTTCTTGCTGCCGGCCAGAATACGAGCGATGCGGTTAGTTTTGGTCACGAGGGCGGAGTAGCACATGGCGGATGAAAGGCCCACCAAGAGCCGTTGCAAATAGCAGGAGGCCACAGAGGGACGGGCGATTAAGGTGAATGGACAGATGTAGCCCAGGAAGATGCCTGCCAAGATGATATAACAGAGTTCTCTGCTGGAGGACTTGACCACAGGTGTATCTCGGTACTGGATGAACACAAAGGTGACAAAGGAGGTGATCAGGATGCCTACGCAGGAGAAAACCACTGCCACTATGGACTCCACGTCCGCCCAGTCAAGGTACTTCAAGGGCAAGGGCTGGCATTCTGGAAGGAGCAGAGGAGATGTTGGGTCAGTCTTCAGGTGGTACTGTAGTGCATTTTGTTTTTTCAATGAAAGGTACATTAGAACAAAGAAAAGAACATATGAGTAGATGGGGGGTAAAGGAGAGATGAATAATATCAGATCAGAGCTGTCCCACAAGGGCTAAAAAAAATCACTCAGTACCCAGGTGCCTGAGGCCTCAACCCCTCCGATAAGGTGCTGATGGTTTAGTGCCAATTCATGGTTTCTACATCCCCCTTAGTCCCACTCACCGGATGTAGGATTCGGGTATAAGCCACTGCTCATTTGCGATACCATTCTACCCCCTTACACTCTCTGCTTGTTACTGTTTTTCCACTATGGGAAACAACAATAACCTCCAAGCAGTATCCTATCATACTAAAAATATAAAGTTTTGCCAAGGATCATGTAGTAAAGCAGCTCTGCGAGTTTCTCTCTGGTGGCAATCGATTTTAATGACAATGCTTTGCCTCCCTGCATGCAAATATTCCACAAAAACAATTCTCGCCATCTCTATTTTGAGCAAACATCGAAGTCGCATCCTTCGCTTAGCTCAGATGACTGGGATTGGTTTAATGAAATACAAACAAGCCAGAGTGTTTTTTTCTCCTCTAACAGGATGATAGCGTGCTGCTGCCAGACCATTATGCATTACAGAATGGACTGGCAAAATGAGATTACATCCCCGTGCACTGATTTTAAATGGAGACAAGGGATGGACACACAGGTCCATTCATATAACAATATATATATATTATAGGGTAGGCGTGAGTCTGATATGCAGACGCTCGTATTGCCTTCACATTGGACACTGGAAAACATATGGTGCTTCTGTCAATGTTTCTGAAAGACTGGCTGTGACTTTCTGTTTTTCCAGGACATAGCAGCTGTTGGCTGATTGTGCTGTAGCGCTGTTTAAATAATCAATCCTCAGGTATGCCAAGAGCTACCGAATAGTCTGCTGCCAGCGCACATGGGATGGACATCGCACCGAATATCTGGAGGATTTGGAACTTCCCCTCCTTGGCACCATCTATGAAAAGCATGTACAAATCAAAGCAGGCAGCGACTCCTTCAATTTGTTTAAAGGTACATTTTAAAAGTGTGGATGGCAGTGACACATGTGTATGTTTATAGTGTGTACAATCCAGGCGGTGACACATTTTGGGCTGCAACAGAGGGAATCATGGCTAGAAGATTAGCCTGTAGGTAAAAGTGCAACCTTTATCACACCATGACTTGTTTTGACCAACCAATTACAGCCCACATGGTGACATGACCTCTGAAACCCAAATTGCGCCTATTAAAGATAACTCCAGTGAATTAGCAGAAAGCATACCCAAGGCACCAAATTCTGTTACTCTGTGTCATCCACATAAACTGGTGCAGTTTTGCTATAAAATGTATCCCATTATGTTGTCTGTGAAGATCCTCAGTCATCCTGGTTATTCTCGTAGCTTAATCGTAGCAACTGGACTTGCTTGAGTTCCTTGAAGACGTTTCATCCAAGAGGCTTCATCAGATCTGACTGACTAGCTGGGAGTTCCAGATGCTTACAACCTTAAGGAGCCATTAACACCTGGGTTTGGGTTTCAATTGCGGGTTAATGGCTCCTTAAGGTTGTAAGTATCTGGAACTCCCAACTAGTCGGTCAGAACTAATGAAGCCTCTTGGATGAGAGGCGAAACGTCTTCAAGGAACTCAAGCAAGTCCAGTTGCTACGATTAATCTACGAGAATCCCGTTATATTGACGCTCAAAGTTGGTTATACAAAAAAAAAAAAACATGCTAAACAGATTTAGATTGTGACACCTGGAACTTATGTGAAATTAATTTGGCTGCAGTTTTTAACAGTGTTCAAATGCCTCCTTTAAGTTATGAGGGCTCACAAAATACCTGAAAAGACTTTGGCCCATCCCTATGTGCTTGGCGGGCCTGTAACTACTAAAATATTGATAGTATAAAAGGTAAAGATTTGAATTACCTTGCTAAATATGAAGTTATTGTACTGAAAAAGCTGATTCTAAAGGGGTTAGTTGAGGGACACTGGTTGATTTTTTATTGACTGATTCTGCAGAAATGTAAGTGTATGAGACAGAAATGGAAGTCAAAGCTTCTTACAGTCACTACAGTATGATTTTAGATTGTAGAGATTCTCTTAAATACTTAATTACAGACAGATGTGTTTACTTGCATATGTAGCTGCTTGTACAGGTGTGGCAGTAGATATCCTACAGGGTCAGGGTGGCCGTCTGATCCTGCAAGTGCACGCTGCTCAGATTTTTGCTCTCCGGCACTGTCAGAAACCAGCGTGCACGTGTCGTCATACTCGTCTCAAAGCTCTAGTTCTGTCAGATTCCTCTCTTATTTCCAAACACGTGGGTATGTGTGTTAACTCTGTCGCCATGCACTAGTTGCACACTTGTCATCCAGCATGCAGGGGAAGCTAGCAGAGCTGACATCCCTAGACTTCCCCGGCTTAACACTCCATAAATTACACGCTTCTGCTAATAGCATTACAGTGACTTCACGGAGAAAACCCACTTCTGGTCTGCGCGCTGACTCCTAACGTGTCAAATCATAGGAAATTTTAAAGCAACACAACTCGTCTCCCTCGGGAAAACGGGGTATTTTAAAACGCACGTGAAAGGCGCGAATGAGAGTATCAAGGTGTGAATCAGCTGTAACCTTGGGGTTTTATTTAAATGCACTGGAGTCTGTTTGGAGCTCAGATGAACAAGATGCTGCCTCTTTTCCTTTGACCTTCCACCCTGCTTTGCTTCCGGGTGCGTCGGCCAAACTGCGTGCAACATATCGGTTTCCTTTGCAACCAGATCCTTAAATCCCTTATTCCTGACTGTCATTTCTAAGCTCCAGGAAGACCTTCCTAATTTATAAAGAAAAGACGATCACTCTTCTCCTGTACACTTTCACATTTGACTTAACAAGCACCATAGTAAAGGAAACATACAGACTCTATGTGGCTCTTTTAGCATTCTCCAAATGTAATAAGAGCGAAAGGAGAATTTCTTCCTCGACAGCCTCCTGAAATGCATCCCCAAGCCTCTCATGGCACTAATAGGATTTTACACCTGGAAACTGAGCGCTCTTCTCAACTTTATAAATTGCTGTCAAAACAACCACTTGGTCAGAACAAGGTGAAGAGCGAAGAGGAGGAAAGTGAGCAGTGTCACTTTTAGAGGAGTGGGGTAGAGGTTGAGTGAGCTGAGAGAGCAGCGGTACAGGGCCTGGACGGCGAAAAGCTTCAGCGAAAGGAGGAGGTATGAAAAACCGAAACACAAATCCTGCCAATGGCTTGATTCAGGATCAGGCATAAGGTCGGCCAGTTGCGAGTGAACACATGAAATGGGTAAAATAATGAGTGTGGATTGGTTGAGAGGTGTTGAACAGGAAGAGCTGATGAACGATATCCATAAAAACAAAAGCAGATCGGCTCAGAGCATCTGGTTTCTCCCACCTGCCAGTTCGTCGTCGGGCCACCATCCCAGCTCACATGCCTTGCAGGTAAACTCATCCTGGACGTACTCGTTGTCTTTGCACGTGGTGCAGATCCAACAGCAGCTCACCTCGCCCTTCCTGATCACCTGCACGCAGAGAGGCCACATGTGAACAATTAGGGGTCAAACACATGCCAGTAGCCAGTCACAGCAATGATCAAACCGTGACAACCCCGAAGCGACCCGTATAAGTAATCAGCATCAAGGGGATATCAGAGACGAGGATGTGCTTGTGCTATTTCTTTTTTCTTGAGCCCCAGACAGAGTGTTTAGAAAACAAGGCCAGCTGCTTTTACATTCTGCTCCCAAAGAAGCTGTTACCAGCACTGTGATATGTAAAGCAGGGTGATAAGTGGGGCAGGAAACAAAGCAGATAGAGGAGGAAGCGTGAGCAGCCAGGAGAGAGGGTGCATCCTCCCGCAGGGCAACTCCGTCTATAGCCAGACTCTAAACAATCGGCCCTAGATGAAGCAAATGAGGGCATTTCTTTAAACTGGGCTCGACACCAGTTTATGTTTTTATTATTATTTACGTTCTCTTCTTTAAGGTAGGACGATCACAGGGACTCAGCTTCGTATGATGTTGTCTTTTTACTTTGTCGCTCACATTTAATTAGACCGACATGTCTGTGAATCCTGTTCTTCCTTCATGTTGCTTCCTTACAAAACTTCTAACTGATGAAGAAGGTCACATCCTCAGAGTACCTGCTCGGTGAGGATGTAGTGGATGATTAACCCTCTGAACCCCGATGCCTGCATGCAGGTTTGAAAGGTACGATCTCTTTTTAAAAACAAAAATTACCACATTTATTACATTTATTTAAGCCCGTAACTGTAAAAGACAGAAAGACACACTGGATGTTTAACTTCAAAATGGTTCTTAAATTACTCTTGAGTCCAAAAAATTAACCAAATCGAAACTTAAAATTGTGACATTAGAACAAAACCCATTTTTCTGTCTCAGTTTTTAAAAAAAAAAGCCAAAAATAAACCATTTGCTCCAAACAGAATCTGTAAAATACTAAACGGTGACTCGGCATTAAAAAATCAACAAAACTAAGGAGACAGGTATGGACACAAATTAAAAATGCAAACAGTAAAATGTTTGTCATTGTATATGTTACTTTTTTTTTGTAAAATAAATTATAAAATAAATCTAACTTTCTTTTTTTATAATCATTTATAGCATCATAACTTTATATCCTGCACAGATAGTATCTCTGAGTTCTCTCTAGCCTTGACTGCTCGGCGTTCGAAGGGTTAATAAAAAGAAAAAATGTGAAAGATTAGCATTTACTGTAATAATAGCAAACAGAGATGTTACCAGTAATGGCAGTTATTAAAGAGCACAGGGGCAAAGGGGCAAAACCATCTCTGTCTTAAGTAACGGCAATCTGTCTTTGACCACAGGATGGATGAAATGTTTGACTCCACAAAAAAAATGTACGAATTATCATTATTCTTGGTAGCGGTAAAAAGCTGCATAAAGACATTTATGGTTTATAGTAATGACTTTGGGAACTGATCCTCTCCTGCCACCTCAGCCCAGCCTCCAAAAAACAAAACAGCACCAAAAAAAATGTAATAGCTATGTTGGTTCACTACAAAAATGTATTATATTCTCAAACACAGCTGTGAAACTGTGAGATGTGAATGTTGAAACAGGACCTGAGAATCATAGAAAACAACTTGAACTTTGTGTGTTGCAAGAGCGCATTTTTAACCTAAACCACCATCTTTTCCTAAACCTCACCAAGTAGTTTTGGTGGTCTTATCTTAACAAAGTACTTGGTAACGTAAATAAAAGCAAAAAGCGACTGAATACTGAAGCAACAAGTGGTTGAAGGTGCCTCAAGAGAAGAGTCCAACACAACTCCTGGGTGATACCTCCACTCCTCCAGCCTTTGTGGTTCTTTTTTATGTGTAACGCAAAAGTAACTCGCGAGTCGTGTGAAATGAGCAAGTGTCACTCTGTGTGGATGCAAGCCACCCGAAAATATAGAAGCGTTTCCCATTAACCCACACATTTTGGTGTGAGACTGTGTTGACCACGTTTTTTCTTTTTGTGAAATAACTCAACCACTGTTGGATGGATTGTCGTGGAATCTGATACACGCAACAAAGCCTCCTGATTTAAAAAAAAAACAAAACAATTCTCATCCCAAAGCCATTCGCCAACCACCAGGTCAAAATTTGTCTTTGCCCCGCACTTCAGTCTATCATGAAGTACCAAAAAAAACTATTCTATTGTCATCAGCCTCAGCTGTAATTTGTATGAAGTGTGATCTAGCAACTGTTATTATATTATATTATAACAAGCTAAACTAAGATGCAACCCATGGTACAAATTAAGTACAAAATCTAAGCACTTCAGCGTTTAAGGAACCTCCACGAGACGCCTGATTAAATCGAGTTTCAACAAATGTCAGCGTTTAGCTCAAAAGACAAAATATTACACTTTTCTCTGCACTTTCTTGGCATCCTTGGAATTAACAACCAAACAGTCCAAATGTTTTGTGAAAATTGAAATCACAGATTCATCTCATTGTTTCATTAGAAAAGTCGCTTTTCTCCGCTGCTAATGACTTTCCAGACTTCCTGGACATTCAATACTGAAAAAGGACGACTTGTACGCCTACCTTTATCTGTCCTTTGGAGCAGGGGTCGCTGCAGACCGAGCGAACCATTTCACTGCTGTTCATCCAAAGCTTGTTGTCATCGATGTTCAAGATGCCCTCGTGCCAGGACCCCACATTAATGTAGTCGTAGCGGTCCTCGCCCACACTCTGTAGATTCATGATGTCATACCTGGATGTACAGAGGAAGACATGGAGGACGATAATGAGTTTGGATAAGTTGAACATGGGGTAGTTCAAGATCACGTTCAGAGAAGAAGTAGGGAAGAGAGAGCTACAGTGGGAAGGGAGACGGGGGAGAGTGACAGGTAATTTAATGATAACACTTCCCTAGAAACCTTTTCTTTCTCTCATCCAAAGTCTCCCTAACAGCTCTACAACCCTGTTAGTGTGACATCGAGAGCTCATGCCAACGCACTGTGCCATCGTTTATCGAACCTCGACGTGCTCCACCTCACCTCTATCTGACGGAGGAATGACACGGCTGTGTTTTCTGACTGTCAAATGCTGTCTGTTGGACTGAAAAGAGATCAAAGTGGCTGCCACAGTGGACAATCAGCTGAATCTGTTCCGGTCCAAACTAATTACATCCTTTCCTTCTCTAAACTGGTGCACACGTGTGGGCATTTGCGCACGTGCTAATGAGTAGGAGAATGGGAAAAGGGAGATGTTCACAATTTATGACTGAGCTGATGATGCGAGGTGTGTCAGAAAAGTTCCAGGACTGGTGTCACAAAAGATATATCTCAAACCCAAACTACAAACTGGGAGTTTTCCCCTTTAGACGATCCACCAGCACGTCTACAAAGAGATCCTGCAGTGTTTGCTTCGTTCAGGACCAGTGGAGGCTGCTTCACCATGACAACCGGCTCACAACACCCTGAGCATCCCACAGGTCCTGGCTGAGAAGAACATCTCCGTGCTGGAGCAACCTCCCTACTCACCCCACCTGGCTCCGTGGGGTTGTTTCCTCTTCCCCAAGCTCAAGGGGGTCATCAAGGGGACCCGTTTAGAAGACGTGGACGACATCAAGATGGCTGTGATGACGTCCACTGAGAGGATCCTGGAAGAATCCTTCCAGGAGTGCATGGCGGCGTGAAGAGAAGACTGGGGAAGGTCCTTAGACTCCAGGGGGATTACTTGAAGGGGAAAACTGGTAGTTTGGATTTGAAATACATCTTTTGTGACACCAGTCCTGGAACTTTTCTGACACACTTTGCATAAAATCTCCATTTCCTTGCTTTGTTTATACATTCTTACCACCCTCCTCGTTCTCTTACCTGCCCGGAGTGTCTCCATTTTCATCAAAATAAATCTCCTCCCCTGAGACTCCTCTGAAGGATGTCTTGAGCAGGTAGTCCAGTAGCTTGCTGCCATCAATAGGGTCCATGGCCTCACAGAGCCCTGTCTGCCCTGGACACAACTCCTTGTGCATGTCATGAAGGCCATGAGCCATGGCATAGATGGCATTGATGACAAAGCCCATCTTACTATCCTGAACATAGTTTTCATGCAGACTCTCATTTCCTGTCAGAGGGGGAAAGAAGAGGTCGTCAAACCTTTGGAAGAATTATGAGTAACGACTGAAGGAAGAAGTTACACTGTGTGAGGGGAAAGCGTAAGAACAGAAAAAGAAACAAGTCTTTGTGGCAGCAAAGTGTATTTATCAAAACATGATGTTCAAAAACTCAATAGGAAGCAGGTCGCCTGGGAAACTCTCAACCCAGTCGCCGCAAAATTACGTTTCTATACAGCTAAACTGCATTCTCAGTTACATTTTGAGGGAAACATATTTTCGGCCAGATTGCATCACAGACGTGTTTCCAATCAGCATATCTTTGGAAATGCTTCACTTGTTCCTTTTCAGCCAACTAATCATATATTAGATGAGGTCGGATTTGTCACCCTGGTAACCCAGAAAACGGGGGTGATGAAGTGAATGGGCTCCATTTTAACCCAAGTTGGGACATTTTTCCTCATCCTCTGAAACTGATGGTCTTTCTTACATAACGGGATGCAAACTTTGGTCTGGTGGAAAGTCCGATTCTGGGTTTACTGGTTGGTTCGTTTCCACCATCTGCTCCTCCTGCCTCCTAACACGGAGTTTGTCATCATTTTTAACTGGCCATTTTTCCCACCACATGACCGATCAGAAACTATTTCAGAGCAAAATTACATCCCTTCAATTTGTAACTGAGAATGCAGTCTAGCTGTACAGAAATGTCATTTTATGGAGACTGGGTTGGAAAATCCTGAGACTGTGTACGTAAGTTGTACTTCAGTCATCTAAAGGCACTGTCACACTTCAGTGTTCTGGAGAATGGGAAATTGGGTGACAAAAAAAGGAAAACAAAGCAGATCAAGATATTTCCTCCAATGTTCATTTTGCCTCCTTAGACAGTGCTTTTAAAATACTGACTTTTCCATTTGTGACATCAACATGCACATACAGTCGAGAACAAAGGTCGTGATCTGCGTATCTCCGTACATCTCTTCCAGCTGTTTGTGTCAACACTGTGTGCTCTGTGAGCCATTCCTTTGTGCGCTTTTTCAGTGTATAAAGCAATATTTTTGTATTTTACTCTGCATACAGTACATACAAGCCCAGTGCTTCACTTCAGAGTTTGACTGATGCAATTATGACGACAACTGGGAGCCTCAGACTGCCAGGATGAAGGCATCGAGTCATTAGACTAAAGACAGTAGTGTTTTGTTTTGTTGTTTTTTTAAAAGCATCAGTCAAACTCTTCCTGTCTTGGAGGAGTCAGATGCGTACAGGTGAGATTCAGACAAAAATCAAAGTCATAACAGTGCCTTGAAAGATACACTTACCACCTTGAAGATCTTTGGAACATAAGAGGTTTGTAAAAAGTGTGATACAGACAAAGTAGAAAAGCAACTATGACTGCACTGCTCTTAGATGGCAACACATCACAAACCACCGCTTGATTTTATTTATCATTTACTTGAAGGCATTCAACATCAATTGGACGGGAGTGTTTGGGGATTTTTTAAAAAAAATTTAAGTAATTTTGGTTTGTGATTGAAATGCTATTAACAAGCCAAAAACACAATTTACCGTGGTCACCTTTTGCGAGCAAGTGGAGAGAATATTCAAGGAGGAAAATAGAGGAAACAAAAACACACACACACACAGTTTTTGTTATTATTCATGAGTTTTGCTCCCTGGTCAGATTTAACCCTGTAGTCTTACTGGCAAGATGAAAGAAACGAATGACGCCTGAGAGCACTAAATGAAAAACAGCACAAAAAATACCCCAACCTGCATTCATAACCAACGAAAATATGAATTTCTTTGTCGACACCTACCGGAGCAGACTTTTTTGTAGTTCTTGTTCTCCTGTGCATGGCCTGGGAGGCGACACTGGAAGCGGTACTGCCAGAACTCGGGGAACCAGGGGTTCCTTTTGTTCTTGTCCAGTCGCAGCTTTAGGTAGTAGTCGTCGAAGGACTTGACCACAGCCGACTGCAGCTTCATGGTGATGCCTCCCTCTGCTTCCTGCTCGTAACCCTCCACGACCTCGTAGCGGTCCGCCCATCCGTCACTGCAGCGGCGAGAGAGAAAGACGGAGAGGCTGTAATATAACGATCAGGGGAGAAGCTGTGGAAGACAATGAGGTAAAGATTTGAGGACGAGCCAAACGTTTTCATCATAATGAGAGGCGCCGCTCGACAGTGATGGCACCCTTGCGCTTGTCACTGTCATTTGTCTTTCACGTTGGGTTCTGGTATATTATAATTTGCACGTAGCTGTAAATTAAGACTGACAAGCTCATGAAGCAGTTTACAAAAGCTGCTTTATCCATTCACTCATCTGCACAATGTAAACAACAAAAAAAAAGGTTCCACTAAATGCAGCTCAGACAGCTTCCCCATTTCATTCATAATCATTTTCGTCTCTGCTGCATGATTAGCACGAGCGCAAACAAATCTTTAAAGCCAGATCTTCAGACTGAATCACTGTTTTCATTGTCCAAACTAGCAGAGTTTAGCAGCCTAAGTGGTAAGCAAAAGCACCATTGTCAGCTCCTTCTTTGGTTCCTTATTAAAAGTTTATTAAAGGACGACTACAGGCACAGAAAAAGCATGATGTGCAAATAGGTGGTTGTTGAACTCTTCACACAGCTTGCATAGACGTAGCTTTGTACTGAATCAAAGCAGCAGCTCGTACTAGCAGCTGACTGAACACACTAATGAACTAAAGTTATTGACAACCGACTGATTGTTGCTATTGTATAAATGGTGATGCAAAGATCCTTTTGTGAGCATGCAGACAAAGAGTACAAGGCAAGACTACAGTAGGCTTGAAAGGGTTGATTCCTAAGTCAGGTGTTAATGGTTCCTTTAGGATATCAGTATCTGGAACTCCCAACTAGCCAGTCAGAACTGTTGAACCCTCTTGGATGAGAGGTGGAACGTCTTCAAGGAACTCAAGCAAGTCCAGTTGCTACGATTAAACTACGAGACTAACCACGACCTGGATGACTGAGGATCTTCACAGACAGGTTGAATCCTATGTTTTGTGTGTCTCTGTTTGGAGTGCATGAAGGCTAATGAGGAAGGACCCTGACAGCTCAAGCCCAGACTCGTGTTGTTTCCATTGAAATGCAATTCCATCAGCGTAGGTAGACGACAGCCTCAACTCTTGCACAGCGTTAAATTAGTGTGGCAGCGCTGCTCGGTGGCTTATCTCCAGTCCAGTGCAGCAATCCTCAATTTAAGAGGATGGAAATCTCAACAATAGCGCCTCAACCGTAATGGTGGGCTTTACACAATCCCTTCAGCTTGCTTGTTTGTTTCTTTGTGTAACCCTCTGCGCAAGAATTTCCACCATACTGAGCTAATTTGAACACAGCTGGCCGGTGGGCTGTAGGAGAAATGGAAAACGCCAGAGAAAGGGACGCTGAAAAAAAAACATATTAACAGACAAACCGGCGCTGCTCTGAGCTCGCTCTTTCTTTCAATCCGAGCCAGTAAGAGTTTTCAGCTGTACTTTACTCTCCGTGTCTCTCTCTCTCTCTTTAATATAGGCTGCTGCCTTCAAATACCTGTGCTATTGACAGCTACGCACCAATTAGGTGTGACTCACCATGGAACCAATTACCTCGCACACATGGGATGTT